TTCAAAAGGACGTATATCCCAATACACTACATGGACATGGATAGCATTTTTGTAATGAATACAAAAATAAAGTCAGTTAGTGCAGCTTTAAGTATTGATACCAATAAGAAAAAAAAAATTGTAACAAAAAAAAAAAAATGATATCGACATATTGATAATCGAATCGCGGGAGAAAGTATCGTCAAACCCCTAGTTCTAATACTAATCAAATTTCATTCCAGGGATAATTCATTCTTGACTTTGACACCCAAGATGTGGCGTGTGTTTATTAGAAATAAAAAGGTGGTGGTTAGCACAGCAAAGAGAGATGAGCTTTACACATAAAAATATGCAGAAACAAAAATTATAATACACAGACAATCAAAAGAAGAAATATGCTGTTGTCCGTCTGGTCAGGATTCATTCGAGGCAAAATAAAAGTGTGCATAACTGGCATGGAAGTACACCTCTGTATCCAACTTTTAGACATTCAAATAAACTCAAAATAAACAAATAAACTCAAATAAGCATAAATCTGCTCCTAAGAAGAAAGCTCCTCAGGTAAACTCAAGAACTTTTAGAACAGAAAAAACATCTGTTGCCATTAGCAACAGATGTAGTATTACAGTTAATGTGGTTTAAAAAGAGTTTTACTGTTGCATGCAAAGTGGAAAATAAAAAAATACACTAATTATTGGTCAAACCAGTCTGATCAGCCGCACCAAGGGGACGAAAGAGTTTTTTTTTTTAATGGCAAAGATGACCAATGTTCTACAATGACCAAATCAACCAAACCCGGATTCTAATTCAGCATTTCACAAAAGAGGATTTTTTATTTTTATTTTTTTAAAGCAACCATTTTGGTTATTGATTCATTTGTTAAATGCTCGACAGTTAGACTAAGTAGTACATTTTCTGCAAATGTGTCAATTCTAGGCCTGTAAAATGATTAAAATATTGAATTGCATATAATCACATTACTGTCATTGTTAACTTGCGAAAAATGGCACAAGGCCCTCGACTTGGTTTGAAAAGTCATTGGATAAAGCAAAAAGCTTATATTAATCCAATCTCCTCCAAAAAGACAGTATTTGGATTGTCTAATATAGACTACTCAATTTCTGCTTTTGTTGTTGATAGTCTAGAACAGGGACCTACACTTTATAAAACCCAGATTTACTTTTACAACAACCGTTGAGCCGTGATCGACCTTGAATTTCTGTGTGTTTACTTTCAGAACATCACAACTTACTGCCTGGTGTCAGTCCCTTGCGACTAAGTATTAAAAAGAAACGTTCTATGACTTTTTCTCGTGTGTCCCAGTGTGTTTGGATACTGGGACACACACACATAATAATAATGCATCGGTTTTATACAGCGCTTTTTTGGACACTCAAAGACGCTTTACATGTCATTATTCTTTCACTCCATACACGGTGGTGATAAACTACTGCTGTAGCCACAGCTGCCCTGGGACACACTGACAGAAGCAAGACAACCGGGCCCCTCCGCCCACGACCAACAACCACCAACCATTCACACACACACCAGACTCATTCTAGGCAATGGGGGTGAAGTGTCTTGCCTAAGGACACAACGACAGTTTGGCACTTTACAGCCGCCCCACTGAGGCATCAGGTGTTCCCAGAGGTTAAGTGTCTTGCCAAGGACACAACGACAGTAGACAGTGGGAGTCGATGGTGAAAGTCTACTGGCTCAAAGGCCAATACTCTACCTACTGAGCTACTGTCGCCCAGTATATAACTTCTGTACATCCTACAGCTTTCTCCTGAGGTGGATGTATTCAAATTAAAGCAGACACATCAAGTTAATGTAATTCCAAATCAGTTGCAGACTTGAGACTGATGTTCCGATGTGTATGGACTTGCAAGATTTGTGTTTGTTTTGGTCTCAGATGTGGGTCTCAATAAGGTATCAAATCTATCAGGCACATTCCTATCCTCTTCCAATGCAACCTTAGTTAGAATTCACCTCAGGCACTAGTACAGCATGTTTGTTTGGAGTCTGTGCATTTGTGTTTTCACCTACGCTTCCTCAGACCAGGCTGTTGTTTCCGTTCTCACAGTGCAGACTTTAAAGTAACACTGGAGAGGCAAGGAGCAGGCTGTAGTAGTATCAACTCCAGCCTAAGATTCTGCTGAGCTTTAGTATTGTGCAACAGAATCATATAGGGCAAGGCCACACTGATAACGTCATCGGAACAGGACAAAGGTCAGCGTTTTTCACTTACTCCACAACAACAATGACTTTATCTGGGCCAGTAAGAAGTGTGTTATTTTTAGCTGTGCGGGACGAGCGAGCAATGACTTGAGCGGGCTGCTGTTTACAAACACTATATAGAATACTAGAGGTCAAAGCAGGAAACGCAAGGACACAGAGGATGATTTTAGCATGCTCTATGGGCAATGTTACCACTAGGCTTAGGATCAGAAATACTAAAACCAACCTGTGCAAATGTCAAGATAAGTATTACACCACTGGCTATAGATAGAAAAGCTGGAGCCATAAAACCAAGTATGTAACAATTATACCTCAACAATGCAAATTAAATTAGCATTACAAACTGTCCAAATCTATTCATGTGCACATTGCCAACACATAATTAATTGGGCCAAAAGGTCTTTTTTTAAATTGATGAGCAGAGACTAGCAAAAATGCAATCCCATTACAGTGATGCAGCCAAATAAAAACATTACGTCTGACAGTTGGAACAGCACAGATAACATTAAAGGTCCCCACTGTGGGATGAAAAGGGCTTATTTTATCTTAAGTGGTTCTTTAACTGCAGTTTATGAGTTCACTAAAGAATGATTTCAGTGTGCGTTGTACTGTCCGGATCCTCTCAGAAGCATTACATGGCCATTAGCTTTGATGCCATTTTGAGGCACTACTCCACATCAAAAAACTTGTGGTAGTTATTTTGTTGTTGTTGTTGTAAATAAATATATTAGAATCTATGTTGGCTGGCATCTGCTTCATCAAACCCTTCTTGTGAATACGTTACACTATGTAATGTAATGCAATCTAATGACATGTATGTTAATAGGTGGAATTGTGTCGTATATGTTTGGAAACTGATTTAAAACCTGCAAACTGTTGCTCGGTAAAAATCCTAGTCTCCCTTTTTATGCCATTAGCAAAGTATTTAAGTATAAACTATTTAAAAGGGAACTACTATACTCCAACTATACATAGCAACAGCTGAAATAACCATAAATACAATTGAAACAAGTTAAAGGTGCAGCAAGCGATTTTGTTAGCTTAGCCGTAGCACCAACTGAAAACCACTCCCCCATCCCCACTCTCTCCACCAAACCAAACATCCAGTATTTTCTATCCTTTGTCACAACAAAATCTTTTTAAATTGGCCTTTTCTGATTAGTCCTTTTAGGTTTTAGAAAATCCGATAACTCAGGTGCGCGAGAAACAGGAAGAGGGTGAAGCGGGTAAACGCATCCCATTGGTTTATTTTTATCGGTCCGCTCCAAAATGTTTTTTTAATCAATTTTTGGAGACTACAGGCATCTGGTCAATTCCATTACTATTTGAAAGAACATAACTTAAATTAAAAAAATGTATGTTTGTTTTGTAAAACAAAAAAATATTTCAGTCAGGTCCTAGTGTTTTGGAAAAATTACAGTCCAGTTCTCCCTCTAAAAGAGATTTCAAATAATAATAATAATATATATTTCACTAAAGATGGGCTTTATTAGTCTTTTCTGATAATGACCTCTGAACTCAAGCTCATCCTAAGGAAAGAGGAGCGCAGCAAACACATGCAGGGAGACGTCATCAAATTAGTTTGTTTTGAAGTCTAAAAAGAAAACACTATTAGATTGTTTATGTGATAGAAAATCAGCTAAAGCTGCATTTGTTAAGTCAGGGAGGTCTTTGAGGTTTTTCCTCATAATTTTACTGCTATTTATTATAGTTTATTATACTTAACCAGTGCTATGCTTAGGTCAAAATGACCCACAGCAGTGATTAAGAAATGTTGATGATTTTGCTTAACTTGACCGGCCCTGGGTCATTCAAAACCCTTTAGACCTGAGTTTAGGGTATTTTTATTCTACTTTTAATCACTGTGGTTGATTTCACTCGAGGATAGCACAAGGATTAAGAGCAATACAGTTAATTTAAATAGCCAATAAATATATACAGCTTTGAAGGCTGTAAAAATGTGAATCTGCTCTGCTGCGAACAAAGCCATGAAGAATACATTGGAATAGTGGAGCACGAGCTGCTTGTCTTTATAATATTTATCCTTCTCCCTCCCACTCCATAGTGTGGGTGGCTGGAAACTTGCTGCTCGAGGGGGGACATTTTACACTCACTAAAACAAAGAAGATTTTATGGAAAGCATAGTCACTCAGGATATTAATTAGATGACAAAATGTATGTTTGATACTAGTTTATATACAGCTGGTGAGCGCACAAGTGTGATACAAACTTCAACTCACTGATTACAAAATTCTGTACCGGGGTTAATCTCTGCCAAGGTCATATCTGGCAGTCTGCAGCGACAAGATTGTTTTATTCAGGTTTCATCATTATTTCTATCAAATACTATGAAACAACAAACAGGTCACTGTTGAACAACTCCAATTGGCCTAGTTTGATCATTTAACACTCCAGGTCATATACTGTAAGAGAACGCTGTCAATTGTCGATGCTGCCAATGGTCGACTAAAGATGAACTAATCTCTAGTCATCCACTATGACAAGCACCAATAGAAGATTACAATTGACTCAATTACACAGCCCCATGATCTAGATTGGAAAGACTCTGTTCAAAAGACTATAAGCCATAAAAGATGTTGTTAAGATTGCGTCACTGGTCTTATTTCTGACCAATGCATGCCATCCACAAGCACTAACAAACAATCATATTCATCTGAATGTGATCACAAAGTTGTAAAAAAAAGGACGCTTAGTACTTTTAAAATTGTTGTTGTGTTTTGGTGTCCATGTATTTAATACTTTGAATGTGCCAGACTTACCCACACATGCATTGAGAAATAGCCAGTCAGTCCTTCTCATCCGGTTTTTAATTTGCTTCAGTTTTTTGAAATCCACTTCGAGTTCCTCTTTACTTCCGATGCCAGCCCCAGATGCCAGCTCGATTCTCTGGAAGTCCATGTTGACGTCTGCCTCTCTTTTTGATGTGGGGGGTGACCTCCTTTGGCTACTGCTGCAGCCACCTAAACCCCCCCCCATGCCTACTAGCCCTTGGCCTATGTGCCCACTTACGCCCCTCCGCTTGTCCCTGTCCTCATTCAGGATGGAGGAGGGAGGCTGGCTCTCAAGCTCAGATGCCAGCTGAATGGGCTCTACCAGTAGGCTATTGGGCCTGGGGTGGTCACATACCACACACTTCCTTGATTTGGGCCAGTTCTCGTAAGTGCATGCGCTGCAGCACCAGCGCTGGGCGTGTGTGTTGAGTCGGTTGCGGTCGTTGTATTCCTCACAGGGGTCTGTGGTAGAGGCGGGGGTGGACGAGCGACAGCCTGAGCCTGAGGTCTGAGGAGACTCTGTGGGGCTATGGGGCTGCTGGCTGTGAAGTCCTGGATGGCTGGAGTGTGGTGGGTGCTGGTGCTGCCCCTGTTGCCTCTGACACAGACACTGCGTGCAGCGGATGGCTCGCGGCCAGTTCAGATAGGTGCACGTGTGGCATGACCACTTGCTGCTCGGCTCTGGGACGTCAGCAATACGTACGCGGGGCCGTGCGCTGGAGTCAGGACAGATGAGCAGGCTGGACCCTCCCTGGGTCGGGCTGTTGCTGAGCTCTGCTGAGTCCCACTGGTGCAGACTGGCATCCAGAGCAGGGCTGCTCTTAAAGGGCTCCTCAGTGATGATTGCCCCCCCACTAGGCCTCTGAGCGCGGCACATGGTGCACTTGATGGCGGACGGCCAGTTCTCGTATGTGCAGTATTCACAGGCCCACTTGGCAGACAGCTCGCTCATCGTAGCTCTGCCGCTGTGGGAGGCTCCCCGCCGTCACAGGGCACTCAGCTCGGCAGATCCACTCTCAAGGAGGGCAGTGTCACCCCTGTCACATAGAGTAACACAGCATTAGTTACATGACATTGACAATTATCAAGTTTTAATCTAAATGAAATACAGTAAAGGAATGAACTGAAGAAACATCAACAGCTCAATCACCACAGGTTCAACGTTGGGGAGCTGTGGTGATGGAGGCTGATTGTTACATAAGGCTGATCAAAACATGTTTATTAGATTGCTTATTATGTTTATTACATTCAGTCTATATTATTCATAATTCTAATCCAACAAAATTCATGCTATACATTGTATCAATTTCTTTTCATAGTGACACAATGCATCATAAGTCACATTATCTCAATATTTCTGGAACCAAATGTAGTAAAAAAAACGGTTGAGTCTGAACAGGATGTTATCATACTTCTATAGTTCTGTTACCCGACTACAGCTATAAACAACACATACTGTAAGAAGCTCATGGATGTGTCCTACACTCACACTGAACTGGTAACAGGAGACAAGGACAGATGAAAGCAGACACCCAGTGGGGAGGCGCATGACTGCCTCACTCGCCCACTGTTGCACTCCAGTTGACTTCATCCAAAGCCTAGCAATTACTAAATGATTCAAATCAATTGTGCTACAACCAACTGTACATTGCCACAGCATCTTTGCACTTGACAAAAGTGTATGTACTGAACCAAATAGTGTGTGTGTTCACAGCACGCCTGCACATTTGCAAACACATGGTGACAAATTCCACATTTCGAAATGTGCTGTCCTTGACACTGAACATAACATCAGAACAGCACCGTTTGGCTCTCATATTAACCTTAGAGCCATGCACACACACCAGTTTATTTGGCTTCTCGAGGTTTGTTTACAATGTCTGCCATTCTATACTTTGTTTGTTTGATCTAAAAGATGTTTTTCTGGAAGATGTGGTATAAATATATGGAAACGTCCATTAGATGTGTCAGTCAATTCAACTTTATTACAAACCCTACACTTTAGCAGGAAATCTAAAGTTAACTATACACTCACTGCAATGCTCAGAAGTATTGCATACGAGCCGCATGGTTTTGAAATTATAAATCATATTTATTTGGAGAAATTACTATAATTTCAGAGAATGCACTGTACAGCAAAACACTTTTTCGCTGAAAATGCATATTACTAGGTTAGAACTACACGCCCCTTGTTTTCCTGTAGTTAGCTTGATTTGAGAAACATTACTGAGCACTGACTGTTGACTAACTTACCCACCGTCACCTGCCGTAAACAAAGCAGAAACACAACACACATTATGCTGTTGTAAAGTCCCAAAAGCAAACACACAGTTACGAAGCTGACAGCTAACTTAACATGACTGGAGCTAGCAGGCTGTGGCTAGCGTTATGGGATTATGTTATGCCCCTCTCCGCCGCTGTGTTTTGGAAGGCCCTCGACAAAAACTCAACCAGGTCAGCTCCAGCTCGGGTTTAGCGCTGGCCTGGGAACCGTCCTGGAGCTCACCTTTTCCTGCCGTGATCCACCGACACCGACACACACGGTCTGCCTTCCCCCTGAGGAGAAGCAGCCCACTCCAGTCCGCACTCGGGCTCCTTCACTTGGTCGCGTCCAGCCGCATATTTACTTCTCTTTGGGCATTTCAAGGACTGTACATTTCCGCGGAGCAGCGACAGCCCCAGTCCCGTCGGTCCCGTCCCACGATCCGCAGGCTGTGGGCTTTAGAGCATGGTGGTGCGGTCCTCGTCCTCTGCACATCGAGCTGGGACGAGTTTAATGGCGGCGCAGGGAAGGGAAACAGCCGCGGAAGGCCAGGCCAGGCACGCCAACAAAATACACTCGGAGCCTCGCAGTGAGAAGAGAAAGCCCTGGGCAGTGTTACAGTGAGAGAGAGCAGGATTCACCACCTGCATGTGACACACGCTCCCATTGGACGAGCGCTGTGTATTCTTTTGCATCGACCAATCAGCTCCCACGTCTCTCATTCCAACTATTAAAAGGCTCAAAGCAAAACAAGCGACTGCCTCTCTAGCAGACTTTCTATTTCTCATTTCAGACAGACTCGTTAAGGTATTGATAAATTATTATATTTTTCTCACGATTGAACAATCGGAGCTTGTTGCATCTGTGTGAAAGAACCACGTGGTGTTGCCTCAGAGGAGATAAAAGAATGATGTCATCGTGAAAATACTGCAGTGTGCAGAATACATGGATCTATTATATCAGAATATCTAGAATATCTGTTTCCTTTCTACTTCTAGATTTTTGGAGAATCCTATTTAAAACAACGCGTATATAGACAATGCAGTTGAATGATCGTTTTGTTCGAATTTAGTAAATGTTGATCAGATAATGGTCGTTTGTTTACACCATGGTGTTTACAGCGTAACGTCAGAGGCAGTAGTAAGCTTATGCAGACACGGTCTGTCTAATGGTTTACTGTTTAATGCGTTTACCATTATTTCTACGCAGAAAATACCCGATGACCGCTTATGAGAACATATTATGATGCAAAATAAAGACACAGTTTATCGAATGTCTTATTTATTGTCCTCAACATCATGTGCTCATTCCTTGAACATTTATGCACAAGTCCAGTAGAAGCTATATGATCCTGTATAGGTTTAAGGGGAGGGATAATGTGTCTAAAGGGGCTTCAGGTGCCCGTGCTTTCCAACCCAGCATCATGGATTTTGCAGAGTAATGACAAGAAGGACCAACTAGACAATTTAAAGGTCAGTTGTGATGCAGTCATATGATCCTCACTGTCCATATACATCTATTTAATGAATAGAAAATAATTAAGTGTAATAATAATAATTAGTAATTAATATATTATATGACTACCTTTGGAATGAACTTCGAATTCACTTTTCATTTGTCTTGTTCAGCTTCATTCTAATACACGAGTTCATGTGTGTTTATGTGTGATTTTACAGGTTTTCTTTGCTTGATATAAGATTCTATTTCTAGGAGAGAAATAGGTAAATGGCAATAATGGCTCAGTCATTTTATACTTAAACATGTACAGTCACAACCCACAGTTAATATTGTCAACCTTTGCAATTAAATACAAGATTATGCCATGATGTAAACGATGGTTAAAATCACATGTGTTATAGTTCAAAGCAGTCATTAGTAGTTATTTTTGTGACCAAGGGTACCAACAGAAACTATCTTCATAAATTGTAAGTCCTTGATATATCGTCAATTGCCCTATAAAAGGATCTGTCAGGGGGATTGTTCCAGTGGCCTACAAATCTAGAAAACTGCTACAGCTCTAGTTGTCTTTTAGGGTCTGGTTGTGGGCACAGTAGTCTAATGACTCTACCAAAAGAATCCCTAACCCTTGCCATCTCCTGTTGTCAGACCTTAAAATAATACAAATCAAGACAATTATATAATAAAAAAACAACACTCTACCCAAAGAAGAGTGTGGTGTGCAGTGAGGTCTGCTGTCAGGGGAAAATAATCACTGTTCCCACAGCAACAAGGCCTAAGCACTGAAGGAAAATTATCAACTACGACTTATAATAGAAAGTCAGCAAGACTAAAGAGAAGTAGATTATATTTTCACCATAAGCAGTTAAAGAGATAACCAGGAAAAATGAGTAGCAGCCAGTATTTATAAGAAAATGATAGACGGATGAACTTTTAGCTCTCCAAGAGGGAACTTGAAGAATCTGGTTAGTAAAGCTACAGTACATTGTGTTTGCCCTGTTTACCTTTCACAACACTCAAACATAAGACAAAGAGTAGTAACGACTTCAATGGCACATGACAGCATTGGTTTAGCATTAGAATGGACTGTGACAATGTTATGTGCAGCAAGGCGCATACAAGTTCAGTGTTATCCAAAAAGAACACAACGTTGACATTCCTGTCAATCATATTTGATTAACTATTAAATCTGACAAAATATAAGTATATATATTTATAAAGCACCCATTACAGAAATGGCAGAGTTAAATGTTGTAATTCTATCAAGCATTTGACACAAGTGATTGTGTGTTTTCTTAAACGCAACAACTTAAAAAAGGAACAAGAACTAATAATAAACTGTTAACAACATTCTTTATAAATTAATCTAATTTAAAAAATAACCCTTTGCCTACTTCATTAATATAATTGTCATAAGGCTGCAAAATACTTTAATTTTGCGGTTAACTTAAATGGTTTGAAAAAAAGGCAAAAAAGTGCAAGAGCTGTGGTTGGGGTACATTGACAAGCAAACATGAAATTATTAAATCCTAATCCTGGGAAAGACTGTAGAAAGACTTGTCTCATTATTACAAACAAGCTAGTTGTCACATCTGTGTAATTACCCTGACCATCACCATTCCAAATCACAAAATAATCATTAAACACCAGCGTTATACCTGTTGATTTCCCCTTAAAATGGAGACTAAGACAAGAGAGAACACAGCGGCTGACCGCCTGCTCATGCCGTTCAGTGGCATGTCCACGATGGTGTCTGGTCGCTGAATGTAGTCAGTCTTTGAGGGGCCACTCACCTCCTGCTTCTATGTGGTCTGTGAACCACGCGCGTCACCCTCAGGGCTCAGAGCACTTGGTCGCCCATGAGCCACCATCTGTAGAGAAGCTTCACTCACCAAGTTCTCATATTCACTACTATCCTCATCATCCTCATCCTCATCGTCGTCATCGTCGTCCTCCTGACCAGCAGCATGTCTGTCTAACGAATCAGAGCTTGACCCATCTCCATTGCCGAGATACGGGGAGTTAGGGGTGGGGACAGGGTTAGAACCAAGGCTAAGACCAAGACCCAAGTCCATACCCACTGGGCCAGGGGTGGGGTGTCCCGGAGAGCCCACAGCCTGAGGCCGAGGCAGAAGAGCAGCACTGGTGGGAGAGGAAGAGGACAGCAGAGAGTCGTCCTGGGACATGAGGTCTGCATAAGAAGGGGGGTTTGGTGAGGTACTAGGTCTCTGCGGAGCCGAGGGGCTGTGGAAGCCTATCCTGGACAGAAGGGCAACCTCAGGAGGATCCGTGTGGTCTTCTGGAGTGGGATGAGCGTCTGCATTTAGGGCCTCCAGCTGTCCTACAACAAACAGGTGTGCTTTTGAAAGGTGTTCAGGACAGTCAAATATATTTATTTTTTGGAATCAAAACAAGTTTTGTTATTATGACGTATAAAGCTTGTGTAAATATGCATTTTCTTTACTGCAACAGCATCTCAAATGGAGCAGACTGAGGCATGACACAACATAGAGTACACAATGAGTTGAGACGTGAACACTTATATTGATTTTTCAAGTCTTAAGATTTGGCCCTTGTCTACTTTGTGGTTACTAGATTCAGAAAGAGCTATGGAATTACAAACACATCTGATTCAGAGCACATTTATGCACAAAAAAAGATATCTTACTCCTCTCTTCTTCTGCAGTTTTCCGTTTCCGGAGGGCAATTTGTTGCTTGAGTTTGTTTACATCTTCTTGAATGTTTTCTTTAACTCGTTCACTCTGCTCTACCTCTGCACACACCGCCTGAGACATCAGCAAAACAGAGGGTAAAACAACTACTGAATTTAAAGTTTATTTTCAATGTTTTGTGCTAAAAACTTTTCACCTGCACTTTATCTTGTAGAGCACTGTATACTTGATAGATTGTTCGGATATCCTTCATTACTCCGTCTTTATCAAAGAATTCCGCTCTGAAACACAGTGGAGAACACATTACATATAAACATATTTCAGCAGTCAATGTCCCATATCGTCTGCTATGGCAGGATTTCCAGACAATTTTTACTTCGTATTACACTGCATAACTTGTTTTGGTAATGGTCTAAAAAATAGGCAACGAGTATTTTGGGTGACTACTTGAAACCATCACCTCACCTGTCGGTTAGATGCTGAAAAGTCTATTGTAATATTGTTTTTTTTAGCGTGATGCAGATTATTTGTTACACAAAAGATTGTTTACTTAAAATACGTTTAATCTAATTCCGCAGTCATTATAGAATGATCGGCGTTATAACACCTCTTCTCGGCTCAGAATCAGATTAAGTCCATGTAAGGTTCACACTAGTGACACCTTTCAATAATCCTTTTACTTGTGTTAGATGATGTTTCTGTTGACTGGTTTGTCTCACCCATGCTCTTTGATGACCTTGGTGTAATTAACTGAGGTGTTGGGCACTGAAGACACTTTATATTCCTGCTGGCTTGTGTTGCCAAGGTTTGGAAGAGAAAGAGTTATCCTCTGATTGTACCTACTGGGGAAAAAAATACTTTTAATTTCACATTCCCTAACCCTAACACCATCTCAATTTGTACAAGTTTACCAGTGCCATGTGTAAATTAAAATCAAATTGAACGACTCACTTTGTGTTGGGTCTGAAGAGCACATACTCCAGAGCATGTGTAGAATTATTGGCTGTGGAGATGAAACTAAAAAGAAGGAAGATTAAGTCGGGGACACCAAGCAGCTGGGTCAACTGTTTGTGAATGACTTGCTCCCGAAAAGACATCTGTTGCTGAGTGTTTCTTCGAAAGCGGTACCAGCCAATAACACTCTGCAGAGAACATCATCAAGTTTATCCTGATCACCATGTTCCGGTTTATTAGGAAAACTAAATCAAGAATTTACATACTTTTCGCCGATCTTGGAGTATGTTGTTTAGACTGTCTTCGTTAACCTTTCCAGCATAGTCATAAAAGCTGGAATAAAATATGATAATATATCCACACTTGAATGATAAACAAAAAGGAAGTAATCAAGCTATGTAAGTAAGTAAGTAATTCATCTTTATTTATATAGATTACATATAACAAATGAAGATCTGGGGCCACCTACTGTCCAAATGTATGTTGTTTTAATAAGGAGCATTACAGTACAAAAGTGTGTATTTACATGTATAATGTAGGCAAAATAAATTTAACTTACCTAAACAATTGTGTACAGGGATCATGATTATGAATTTCTAGAGAGAAATGGTTTGAGTACATTATCCTGCTTCAGTGTATATTTTTATGTTCAGTATTTTTCCTCATTAGGTTCACTCCTTACCAACTACTTGTATCAATTCTGCTGTGGAAATCTGGGCATCACTGATGCTGATAGTCTCTTCCTGCCTTACTTCGCCTAAAAGGAAGCCCTCCTGTGAATCAGAGAGTAAAAAATTAGAATTACACTGCATAATTACTACCTCTTGATCCGCTATTTTTAGATGATGATTGCTTTTTATAGAAAGCCAGAAAATCAGATTTATCTGTGATATTGCTATTTGGAAAGGTCTTCCTAAAATATATTCTGCATTGAACGAATAATAATCCATACGCAGGACATTGGTTAATTTAAAATAATGTTATATTGGAGCTTTGGAGACTAATGACCAGAGGAGATAATTGTTACAGATATGACCAATGATTGCGTGGACCCATACAATCACAGACCTATAAAAGAGACGTGCATGGGATGGAGTGCTCATCTAACAGTCATAAACATGATAATACAAAAGGAGGGACAGTTATAATTAGCCATTTAGCAGATAAGTTAAATACTAGGAACTGAACCGGCGGCCTATGAGCTGGTTAGATTTAGTTCACTGACAGTCTATGATAAGAATGCATATTTCACATATCATGTGACCAGTAGCTAGAAACACAGCTATGCGGAAGTCGGCTGACTTTACAGTCCTGCTAGCAAAGCTTACCAGAAGCTAAAGTTTACAACCAGCAGCTCTTGTTTGTAAAGCAGGTTTTGTTTTGTGTTATAATTCCACAATAGCCTCAGAGGGTCGTGTTAATGCAAGACAGTAGAATATCAATGATTGTGATGTGTGAGATAGATTGTGATGAAACCAGTAAATAGACGGAGCCTCGCTAGCTCAGCAACAGGATGATGACAGTGGAAAACAACAGTGAACTGAACACGTCCCAGAGCGAGCACACAGCCACAGCCCGACCCTCACCGCCGCTCCCCGCACACACCAGTCTGCACACGGCAGCACGGATACTCACATGGTCCGAGTTACTGTTGGCGCTATGATAACACACAGAACTAAAAGTGTATCCTGAAATGGATGCCGCCATGATGGAAACATCCTCATCCGAGCGCCCCCTGCGGTTTCGAGCAGTACTGCACACCCGGCACACTGGCTCACTGCACAGGGGCATTGTGGGAGTTGTAGGCATCACATCCGGTCCACTTCGGCCATGGAGGGCGACATGGACGAGATGGCACATGGAGCTTTGGATTCATCCGATTTAGAGGAGGACAGATGTTCAGACGAAGAGCTGCCGCCTTCAAAACTCGGGACGAAAGAGTAGTAAGTGAAAGAATGTTTGTGGAATGGTTACACTCACGGGCAGCAAGGCGTGACGTGGGCCTGCCTAGTAAAAGTATTACTTATTGCTATGACTTATCTTTATTGATTCTTCATGACTGTAAAGTTGTGAGCATCATAAATGCAGATATTGTTGGCAGATTTGCGTATTTATGCGGCCTGGACATCGACCAAAGCAATTGGCATTTCAAGAGTTACAGAATAATATCTTTAAGTAAACATGTAAACAACACTAGCTAATAGCTATGTTATTTTTAATGGGGAAGAACTCAACATATCACATTTAAGAGAGTGGAACTAGTCAAATTCTAATGCTCATTAGTGTAGTGTCCACCTGTTGTGATGCTGTAACATGTTTATCTTTCTGCAGTTGGGATGATGCCTATGAAAAGGAACTAGAAACCTTTAAAGACATTGGAGATGTTGGCGAGATATGGTAATAATAACCACATAATACACATTATATGTATATTAACCACACTTGAACTCTTCCAGGTTTGGAGAGGAGAGCATGACTCGTGTGATTGGATGGATGAATAACTCAAAAGTACCAAAAAATGCATCTATTCTGGATATTGGTACAGGAAATGGAGTGTTTCTTGTTGCGCTGGTAAGGAAATAACATGATGACTACTACTTCAACAAAAAGCCATTTCAAGTGAGTGAAGCACACTTACTTATGGCTTATTTCTTTCCAGGCTGATAATGGTTTCATAAATCTGACAGGAATAGATTATTCAGAATCCTCAGTAGAACTTGCTCGGAATATTCTTCTTTCTGAAGGAAAGACTGATGTACTTGTTAAGGTATGTTAAATGGTAATTTACGCATTTTCTATAACAATCAATATTATTGAGAGGAATGTGTTGTAATCATTGAACACTCTTGTGTCATAGTCCAGACTCCAGAGGACAAATCTTAAAAGTGAAGGAAGTCTGCTAGAACAACATTACACAGTGTAATGCTCCCTTGTGTGTCTCATGGGGCAGTACAGTACTGTACATGTTCTGTGTCCACCTTTGCCACTATATGCGTGAAGAAGATGACATGTCTGGGATCGCGTCTTAAATTCAGACAGAAGACATGTTTTATTGTCGATGGTAGAGACAGCACGAACAACACGAACACAGATACAACAGAATGCAAGTGTGTTATACAGAGCGGAGGCATGGAGACCTCCAATCAGCAGCTGCCACGGTGCCATGTAGCTTGGCCTTCAGATAGACAAAACAAGGGAAAAGTACTGGCTTCTGCACATTGAAAGAATGATGAGTTTAACTTTAACAAAAGTTGCTTCAAAGTGTTATGAAATCTCACATGCGTTTCAGCAGTGTGCCACTGGAGTCAATATTGACCCTTTTCTGGTCTGAGGTGGATGGTGGATGAGAGAAGGGCAGTGAGGCCTTTTGCATCTTTATCTGCTGATTGCTAGATTGAATGATGTTGTATTGTTTAGTATTAAACAGTAACTTATCAGTTATTGTATTAATTGAAAACTATTGAAATACAACTGGGGCGATTGATTGAAGTGGAGTGAATTTTAATCCACTTCACCTTAATTTGAACCATATTATTGATGTCAGGAGAACTGGAGCGTTTGAGTTTTACTTATTAAGTGAATAGAGTCATCAGTACTAGTGTAAAAACTGTGCCACACCTATAATTGAAATAAAACTAATACAGTGCCTTGCGAAAGTATTCGCCCCCCTTGAACCTTTCGCCACATTTCAGGCTTCAAACATAAGAATATAAAAATTATTTTTTTTGTCAAGAATCAACAAGTGGGACACAATCGTGAAGTGGAACGAAATTTATTGGATAATTTAAACTTTAACAAATAAAACTGAAAAGTGGGGCGTGCAATATTATTCGGCCCCCTTGTGCTAATACTTTGTAGCGCCACCTTTTGCTGCAATTACAGCTGCAAGTCGCTTGGGGTATGTCTATCAGTTTTGCACATCGAGAGACTGGAATTCTTGCCCATTCTTCCTTGCAAAACAGCTCGAGCTCAGTGAGGTTGGATGGAGGGCGTTTATGAACAGCAGTCTTCAACTCTTTCCACAGATTCTCGATTGGATTCAGGTCTGGACTTTGACTTGGCCATTCTAACACCTGCGTACGTCTATTTGTGAACCATTCCATTGTAGATTTGGCTTTGTTTTGGATCATTGTCCTGTTGGAAGATAAATCTCTGTCCCAGTCTCAGGTCTTTTGCAGACTCCAACAGGTTTTCTTCCAGAATGGTCCTGTATTTGGCTCCATCCATCTTCCCATCAATTTTAGCCATCCCTCCCTGTCCCTGCTGAAGAAAAGCAGGCCCAAACCATGATGCTGCCACCACCATGTTTGACAGTGGGGATGGTGTGTTCAGGGTGATGAGCTGTGTTGCTTTTACGCCAAACATATCGTTTTGCATTGTGGCCAAAAAGTTCGATTTTGGTTTCATCTGACCAGAGCAACTTCTTCCACATGTTTGGTGTGTCTCCCAGGTGGCTTGTGGCAAACTTTAAACAAGACTTTTTACGGATATCTTTGAGAAATGGCTTTCTTCTTGCCATAAAGGCTAGATTTGTGCAGTGCACGACTGATTGTTGTCCTATGGACAGACTCTCCCACCTCAGCTGTAGTTATCTGAAGTTCATCCAGAGTGATCATGGGCCTCTTGACTGCATCTCTGATCAGTCTTCTCCTTGTTTGAGATGAAAGTTTGGAGGGACGGCCGGGTCTTGGTAGATTTGCAGTGGTCTGATACTCCTTCCATTTCAATATAATTGCTTGCACAGTGCTCCTTGAGATGTTTAAAGCTTGGGAAATCTTTTTGTATCCAAATCCGGCTTTAAACCTCTCCACAACAGTATCTCGGACCTGCCTGGTGTGTTCCTTTGTCTTCATGGTTCTCTCTGCGCTTTAAACAGAACCCTGAGACTATCAAAGAGCAGGTGCATTAATACGGAGACTTGATTACACACAGGTGCCTTCTATTTATCATCATCAGTCATTTAGGACAACATTGGATCATTCAAAGATCCTCACTGAACTTCTGGAGTGAGTTTGCTGCACTGAAAGTAAAGGGGCCAAATAATATTGCACGCCCCACTTTTCAGTTTTTTATTTGTTAAAGATAAGATGTGCTTTATTTATCTCACATAGGAGAAATTTACATGTAACATTTAGCATGGATAGAGACACTCAGATTTTGAAAAAAGAGGAAATGTGCAAACATGTTACACGCAGGATATATATGTACAAAAAAAAGTGACAATAATTATGTACAACAAAAGTGACAAGTTGGAGTTGGAGAGGGGGGAGAATCAAACCGGTTGAAGTACTGGTTAAATTCATCCGCCCGGTGCTGGTCTCCATCCGATGTTCCTCTGGCACTCTGTCCAAAGTCGTAGATGTTCTTTAGGCCTCTCCACACGTCGCGGGCGTTTCCCTGGGCCAGCTTCTGCTCCAGCTTTTTCCCATAGTCCTTCTTGGCCCTCCTGATCCTCCACTGGAGCTCGTGCTGGATCCTCTTCTGCTCCTCCCTGTCCCCTGAGATGAAAGCCCTTTTCTTGAGGTTCAGGAGGGCTTTAAGCTCAGGGGTCACCCATGGGTGGTTGTTAGAAAAACACCGCACCTTCTTAGTTGTTACAGTGTTATCCACACAGAACAGAATATAGTCTGTAATGCAGTGTGTCAGGCTCTCGATGTCCTCACCATGAGAGCTGCAGATCATTTCCCAATCAGTGTTTTGAAAACAATCTCTCAGCATCTCATCCACATCATCGCTCCACACTTTTACAATCCTCTTCTGCGCTGGATTTCTGAAAAAATTTTAAATTATCCAATCAATTTCGTTCCACTTCACGATTGTGTCCCACTTGTTGATTCATGACAACATTTTTAATTTTTATATATTAATGTTTGAAGCCTGAAATGTGGCGAAATGTTGAAAGGTTCAAGGGGGCGAATACTCACTGTATGATTGTGAACCATTATTTTAGCTTGAGTATCGGTTTTCATTTACCTGCGTCAGAAACTCAGAGTGAATTTAATCTTGACTGATGTCGACAATTGACGCACAGCAGTAGCGAATGTGGTATTAGTTTTGTGTCTTCAATTGAGTTTTTTGGGGCTTTTGTTTATTTCAGACGGTGGATTTCTTAAGCTGTCAAGACGAGCTTGAGAGCTTTGATCTGTGCATCGACAAAGGGACTTTTGATGCAATATGCCTCAACCCAGACAACGCTAAAGAAAGAATAAGACTATATGTGAAATCTTTGAAAAGAGTTTTAAAGAATGAGGGATTCTATGTTATTACCTCATGTAACTGGACCAGAGAGCAACTGCTGGAACACTTTAAGGAAGGTGAGTGAAAACTGATCCTCATACACCCCACTACACTTTACTAATACATACATTTATATTTTTGATCCCCATAGCACTTGTAATTATGTTAATTTAAAGGTTAAACATTCTGAATGTCTTGAGCTTTAATGCAAGATTATCTTTGTATGTAACTATGTAGCGTGAGATATTTTGGCCATTAACAAAAGTACGAGTAGACTTTTTACTTTGTCCTTTTCATGTTTTAGAATGTAAAATAATATAACTCTCTGAGCTTCCAGCCATAGGGAGGAGTTAAATTAGTGTTAATTTTTAGAGTGGTTGTATCTAAAAAGGATTCCAGGTCTGTTTTTGATGAGGGAACAATGTTGAGCATGGTTAAATGATCAAAAATGTCAATTTAGCATAATATGTCTTAAAACAGTTTCACAGAGTACTAATACATATAATTTTGTATTTTCTCACTATTTGAAGTTAGATCTGACTTTATATATTATATAAACTAATATATATAATTCAGACAAATGGAAGCTTTCAGTATTGTGCCAAGTAAAATCATTTTGGTAAAAATAATATATACAGTGTCTTGCAGTCGTCTTCCACTCTATTTACTTTTTCATAATGCCAATATTTATTTCATTGAAGTAAAATAAATGAGTTACAGATTTTCAGTGCTTTACTTTAAATCCAAATAATCTTAGATCAGTTTGGATGTTTGCCATTCCTTGGAGACTGACTTTATGGCTCAATGCTTTAAAGTCTGCACTTTAGCGTGGTGGGTCTAGTCAAACAGACAGTCATGTTGAAGGCGACACCAGTTCATGTGGGGTAAGTGCAGTCACATTGGGGAACCAGCAGGGGGCCAAGAACAGCGTCAGCCTGTGTCTGCTGGGCCTCCAGACCCTGCAGACACACAGCAGATGGGGAACGACTGGCCCCAGACTCCCTGCACTGTCCCTCCTGTATGCCTGCTCAGCACAATAGTCTGTGTTTGGAAGCATGAATATTAAAGACGCCTCCTTTGTTTTTCATTTGTGCGTTTTGTTCTGTCTTAATCCCCACAGGATTTGAGCTTCTACAAGAGTTGCCCACACCCACGTTCAAGTTTGGAGGGCGGACTGGCAGCAGTGTGACAGCACTGGTCTTCAGAAGAGTACATTGATCTGACAGAATGTTCTGAATGTATCCTGTTTATTTTCCATTTGATCTGTATTTTTTTGTATTAAAAAAGTAAATGGTATGTTATGTTTGGTGAAATATGGTAGCTGTGGTTTACATTACTACATTACATCACAAATCCTTGTGGCCACCATCTTGAGCTATCGTTCGAGATAGCTAATTCCATCTGTCTTTAAAGTCATGTGAAAAATAGCCCCTGCCTAATTGATTCAATTGGTAGCCTGGAGAGCTTGGGGTCCCGTGTTCTTTGACATCATAAATAAATAGCGGGATTCTGGCAGAGAAGTTGTCTGCATTTCCTTTCTAAAGGGCATCATTAATAACTGCACTACTGGATCCTAATGAGGGACTGGGATAGTCACCCAATGGGAGTACAGGAGTCGTTGCGGGGTATGCTTCTGGGTAAACATGTATGGCTTTACAAGAAGCTATTATTCAAGGCTCTGGATATCCTGCCTGGATGTGCTTGTTCTGCTTATGTTTACTACTCTCAGACATTTCCCATGAAGCAGTAGCCATTCATCCCAGTTATATTGCCTATGGCATCAACATAATGTACAAAAGTTTGAACTATTTTTATTTATTTTTTTCATTTTAGTTTAGTTTGTGACTTAGTACAGTAACTCTTCACACAAATTAAGTAAATAGTATTAGGTTAGTCACAATCATCTGAGCAAATCTTTATATTGTCAAAAATAGTCTCAAGTCATGATTACACTAGAGTTACATTCTATCTAGTATACTTATAATGTTATAATGTTCTTTGATCTAATGTTGTTCTCAATGGCTCTCTTGCACACACAAGGCTGCACTGATAATAATGGTTTTGGACTTTGCAAAAAAACTGTCAATGTGAGGGTAGTACACCAAATTTGTATGTTTTTTCACACATAAGTATACTGGTCTTTGAAGGTCTTATAATCGTATTTTGAAGTGGCTGAAGTACTCTGTGATGTAGAATTTTTCCGTGGCACCAGTGCCAATGTTAGTTTATCTTTCCTAGGTTGGACTTTTCCATTCATTCTGCCTTTTGAGTCTTTTTTTTCTCATATATGGAAATAAAGCATTAGCAATAAAATCTAGATACGTGGGGTTATTTATGGTTATATATTCATGTGTAATAGTCCTGATTAAAGAACTAACTTCGTTTACAAGCATGCACTTCTTAATTTGATTCTGGCTATTGTTGAATATGTTTTATTTGCGTCTTTCTCCTAGTTCACAAATATGAAAATATGAAATGATTCACGGTGTAACTTTACAAGGAAGTATGAATGAAAGTTGAGCCTGATAGTTCGGTTGTAAATGCGTAGGCTATGTCTGTGGGAGGAGGGCCAAGGTGGAATGTACCATTAATTGAGGGAATAAACGAGTTACACTATGGCTATGTATAATGCGAAATGCAAAAGAAGTGACTGAAATGACATTGCGTAGGGCACACTCTCCGCCTGTGTGTACTGTGAGTGTGAAGTTGTGTGACTTTTTTGCCATAAAGCGTAGGAGTTGCGCGTCCATCTCCCTGCGCTCCCCCACACGCTGCGGCTGCGTGGACATGGAGTGAACGCGGATATTGTTGCTGAAGGCAGAAAGCAGCGGAGAGCCTCAGCTGCTCGCAGTCTGCTCAGTCCTGCTCTGGCACTGCTGAACTGGCGAAACTAAAGTGACAACTTCCACACCAGATGTTTTTCACGCTTTCTTTTGTTGAAGATGGCCTAACTTCGACAGCACGTCTGCTGGCCAGGTAGTTTGCGAAGACGCACCAACAGGCTATAACATGATGATGTTAGTGTCTAACTTGTTGCTCTCCTTGGGCCTTTGTGCTACTTTGTCTGCTGTTTTGCACTTTGCTTTGAAACAGACTTGGTACAAGTTGAAGTTTATTGATGGTGAAAATACCAACTTAAAGAATGTGAAGGTGATATCATCGCCTATGTCACCTTTATAGACTAATTAAGTATTGGAAACTTTTTAAAGATGTCAGTATTAAAATTGTTTTCTATGTCATGTTGACAGCATGAAGATAGTTGCAATTATATTTCTTTTGACGCAACCAACTGCGTCAAAAACGTGTCGTGAAGTGGAAAAGTCCCCTTTCCCTGCATGGCTGTTGTCTTTCTGGCAGTGTGGTAGATCATATTGACACAGTGCTTACCACAACTGTAGAATCGTTATGTCCTGCATACGGGCTTTTCTGTGTCAGTTGGCCACTATATATACCTATGGGTCAAGTTTGAGTGTCCATGCAAACTGTTGTTATTACTTATAAATAATTTTCTTGTTGGTGCATTTTCTGTCCTCTTGAAACCTTGCAAACTACTTGCTTCTGATGTACACTATAAACATACATTTGAAGAACTAGTTTTAACCTCATAACCCAATTGTGCTCGGAAAATTCACCGAAAAGTTTCCCTTCACTGCCACTTGGACGTTGTTCATTGCTCTTAGGGGATGCCTGGCTGGCTCAGTTAACCAAACAGGAAATCTCAGTGGTGGTAGCAGTTTGAGGAATCATGTTTTAAGAAAGCACTCTCACACATTGAAGGTGTAGCTTCATTCCAAGCCTTCACATGATGTAAAGATGCAAAAGTATGATGACATTTCATATCTCATGTTTGACTACAGAAGCCCACAAAGAACACTTTTTGCTAGAATTCCTTAACAAGTAACTGCTGTATAGACTAGCACACAGCCTAGATTCAGACATATAATTTATAGAAGCAATTAAGGTGCTTGGATGTCTTAGGGGTGTACAGTATGCGTGCTGCTGTGTGTGCAGGGCCTACACATTGGCATGGTCTTTGTGTCCCAGGCAAAAGGCCCTTAGAGCTCTATTCTGTCAGTGGGCAGCTGTGTGCTGTGTGCTGAGCCAGGCACTTGTCCTTTCTCTGTCTGTGTACAAATGTGGCCCAGTCGACACACTGACGCACATGCTGTTGCCTTCGTCTCTCTATTTGGACTTCTATATTTTAGCTTGACTTGTTTCTCATTTGGTAATATGTACTTTGTGTCTTTCTAGTGTTGTTCCTCTGTCTCTTTCTCTGGCCTACCTCTCTAGCCTGGGGCATTATGCAAAGCCCTCTCTAAAGGATGGTTAGCTATGCCTGTCTGGCTCCATGCTCCTCGCTATTCATTTTCACATCTCCTTTATTCCCTCTGACCCTGCAGCCATAACTAAGACACAAAATGCTTCTGTTTCAAGACATTTCAGCTAGTTTTAGTGAATTATACCACCGTCTTCCTATGCCCTTTGCTCATTAGCATGATAGATTTGTAAGTCTGCCGTCCCGACGCCCACAGAGCCTAAGTTCTCAAAAGAAAAGAGGCTTTCTCACATACACCAGAGAAGCACGCCCCCAACCCCCAAACGCAGGCAACAAGCCCTACTTAGAGATGAAAAGCATTCTGGGATGCAGGAAGAATGCTCCCATCAACACGAGCTGCTGTGGTCTCTCTGTGGTGGTGATAGTGCGCCGTCCCATCAACTTTTCTGCAAGCCAAACAAAGACCAAGTTGTGGCTAGTGTTGTAATGATTGACTCTCTTCCCTCGGGCTCCGGGTTTATCGCCATCTGTCACAGGGGAATGTAGGAGACTCGTACATGGACCACATGAGTACATGAAGGTGGTTTCACACTACAGACCCGTGTGTTTTGACCAATGTTGAAAGACTGTGTTGTCCCGAAACAGCAGAGGAAAAGGTTAGCGTGTTGTTTGGGCCCTTGTTTGCTTTTCACCAAGGGAAGACTGGAACGTCTAAATAAATTTCCTACTTTTGAATTGCCTGACCCATTTAGTGCAAACGTTTTTTAAAATATAAGAAAGAAAAGAGAGCTTCACTCTTGTTACACGGCTTGTTGCGCTGATCTATCTGCAAAGTATTGTCCCTGGACTTGTGGTTTTAGAACCACCTTCACCTGACCCACATGTAACCTATGGGCTATAAACCGGTTTATTGCAGTCTAAACTACAGCTATATAAGATCGTAGTGTTCACACTGAAGACACCTCCGCAAAAAAGGACTATAGATGGCAATGCAGATTTCAAAACACCCGTGAGTAATGAAGAGGTGGCCCAGTAAAAACCTACAGAATTAAGTATTTTTTTCTGGAAGGAGGAAGTGAGCCTTTTCATTTGAACAGACAGTCCAAGCACAGTGTATTTTTGAACACTTGACAAACTCTCAATGAGAAATGTATTGCCACAAAAAAATACAACGGCAGTTCAATTACTAATTTCTCGAGAATTAATGCATAAACTATAAAGCACTCTTTGGGCACATCCTATTGCATTATGAAATCATTCCTCTACACGCCATAGCTGCCCTGGGACAGAATAGTGGAAGCGAGAACACCAATTTGCCACTGAGGCCCCAAAGACCAGCACTCGCATCAGATTAATTCTAGACTGTGCGTGACATGTCTATAAACCACTCGCACCGATTTGATTGATCGCAGTTCTTCATATAAATTAAGTTATCCTTCCATATGAACTTGACATAATGTGTTTCTTTGGTGTTACATTTCTGTAGTACATGTCTAGGCTTGAACCACTCAGACGGAGCCTGCGAGGCCTGACGATCCTGCTTGCACAAAAAGGCCAATTATCATTGCGACATGTGTCACAACTCCTGCATTTGACTTCTGTTGTAAATGATGTCTCACAACTCATTGAGTATATGTTAGATGTACCTGTTAGTCATTCCTCACTAAGGTCAAAATGAATATTGAGTGTGATTGTGTATATATATATATATATATATATATATAGTTATAGTTATAGTGTCATATATTTGTTGTAGTTGGTCTACTCTGGGCCCTTTTAACTTTGCTTCATTTCTCTTTAAATTTAACCTATTGTGCACAATGGCCTTCATGAGCTTTTAAACCACGTTACCAAGGTGTTCCCTCGTCAAAAACGTGGTGAAGGTTGCATGTTTGAGTTGCCCTATTTGTAATGCACTTCAGGCTCGGGTGCTCAGAAACTTGTTTTCACCTTTTTTATGCCATTACTCAGTACCAAGATCAAGACTGCAGATTTGAACTTGCAGTATATGGACTTTCCCTAATTAACCACATAATACTAACACTTTACACTCACATGAAAAAAGCATGCAGCATTTTGGCTTCAATACTAGTTTAGTGCTGGCGAAGGCATCCGCTCATGTGTCGATGCTGAGCCCTCTGTGAAAATGAATGGAGCGGTGGTATGCAGCCAGGGCTTTTGTGCTACATGTACTCACCATATGCTTTTAACTCCTCATCCCTCGCCATTCGCTTTCAGAATTATGATATTACATAACCGTGTCATAAGGCGCAGTCACTTTACCACTTGCTGATTGGCAGTGGTGATCTGTATAACTTCACTTAATGTACAACAGAACGGTCCCCTTTTTTAAGAGGTTGAAAAGGGGAGAAGGGGGTTTCTTGAATAATGTATCCCTCATGGATTAGAGTTAGTGTGTACAGCAGACGTGGATAATGGAAGAAACCACAGCAGAAGAGCGTGGATCGTGGGGTGGGGGTGTAATTAGAGGGGTGCTTAATCTATGGAAATTCTGGCATGTGATGGTGACCGCACGGGGCAACGGGGGCCCCCTGCGCTGCTAAACTGCACCTGCAACACCTGATCCTGACCCTGTTGTGTGAGGGTTTTGTTAACCTAAGGCCAGTTTGATTCCGTGCGGCAGTGCAGGCTAACGTTTGGGTTTAGTCGTGAAGTACGTGGCCCAGATAATCCATCACTATAGCTAAATGACTTCTGCTTTCCTCACATCAATGCTGTTATCGCCTGTTTGGTTAGGTTGCTATGGAGACTCATTGAATTCGCTGCAATGCTGTACTTGGCAGCCGCTCTTTTATGAAGCATATCATAGAAAAGCAAGGCTGTGAAAGTCTTGACTCTCAAACCATTTTATTATCATGCATTACATTTAATAAAGAATGCTTTATTTGTAACATGTTTGAATCATTAAAGTATTTTATTCCAACCAAATTGGAATAGAGTTGTCCAAAGAGGACGATGTCAAATTAAATTTGATTTATTTTTAATTGGGAAAGTCATTTGTCTGGTGGAATTGCCAGTCTTTGATATGATGATGATCGGTTGTATGCAGTAATAACAGCTTTCATTTAATGTAATTGACCCACTATTACTATTTCATCAGGTCCTTTTGTATTAACAGTATATGAATCACTACACTATAGATAGATTGGTATACTTTATTGATCCCTCACATGCAGACAGGAGAAATTCCCTGACTGCCTGTCATAGTAATGTAAGGAAACTTTCTTGACTAGGGCTGAAAGCATGAAAGTTCTCAGCTATAGTCTGATGCTTGTTTATTGAGACCCTATGCTTTCACAGCGCAGTTATGATGAGATTATCCTGTTTTTTTTCTTTGAGTATTTGGTAATCAAGTTCCACACCCAGTTCTCTCACATGTGGCATGTGACCACAAGGGAAGCAAGAGAGTTCAACAAGTCCCTTGCTTATTCTGCAGAAGGTCTTCATGCTAGCTAAGCAATGACTATCAATGTCAAGTGGAATAGTGTACAAATGTTTGGGGCTCTCACTTTTCCAAAATCTAGTCACTATTGTGACTGTATGTTTTGTGAAGGGCAGTTCATAGATGACCAGTACCATTTAAGCATCTCATGTTCTTACAAGTGAATAATGTTTGACTAGAGAAAAGCCTTTTCCACTCTAGTTGGTCTTTGTTAGGAATGTGCATAAAGTTTGACCA